TGGGATACGTGCGATTTTCACAGTGTAGTTCTTGTTAGGGATGAGATAAGAGCAAGCCATGTGACCAAGGCCTCAATTTGGACACATTGAGGCTGAGAAGGAACCAACAAAACTCACTTAAGTACAAGATGAGAGCCCAGCTCTTTATCCACCTGGGGACGTGGATATTGCCAAAAAATTTGTTCATCACTGATGAGAAATTCGTTGACTATCAGGTACGAGGTGTCTAAATGGCAACACAATGCTTCACAAAACTCCCGTATAAAAGATAGAGTCTAGAATGTACGTGGTCAGCACCACGCTGGTGTTGGGTTATGTTGGTAGATAATCAATTCAACTTGACTAGACGTTCACTTTAAATCAAGAACCGATGTGCCACCTCGTGTAGAATATAGGTTTCAATTTTTCGCTATAATTTTAAAAGTTTCAATTTAGTGTCCTATAATTTGGAGTTAGTACAATTTGATCTTACAGTTTTTAAAGTTACAATTGAGTTGGTTTATGTCGGTTAAACATTACTTTGTTTTGGTGTAATTTTTAGAAATCATTTCCAAAATATAAGTCAAAATTTGAAAAAAAAAAAAAAAAAAAAGTTCTTTTTAAGAAGGCAAAATATGTTATAAAAAAATTGTGAAAAACAAGCTAAAAAAATCATGAGAAATCAAATATAATTTTTAAATACAGAAAATAAAAAATAAAAAATTATCAAAATGAGTCTAAATCAAAACTTTTAAAATTAGCTAAACTAAATTAAAATTTTGCACACACATTTAAAACTATTTTGTTAGTCCTACACCACATCCCTCATTTTATTAATAGAAAAAATACTAATAAATAGAATATTATCAAATCACAAATGGTAGTCTATGTTGTTCACCTTTTCAACTCTTACAAAAGGAAATAAGGGCATTTTTATGAGTAATTTTTTTTATTATTTCCCGGAATCGCATTTTTATGAGTAATTTAGTTCACATTTCTTCCAAAAAAAAATAGTGGATTCTAATACGAACAAAAATAAAATTCAAAATATATGATTACTTTTTTCTTTGATTAAAAATAATTTTTTTTCCAAAATAAAAAAAAAAATTGTCTTATTCCATCTTTAAACCAAATAATGAAACAAACTACAAGTATTAAATATTAAAGTTTTCTCCACTAAACAACATGATAAAACAAAAAAAAAGTATTTTTGAAAAATATATCATCACTTGGCTTAAAGTTGTTATATTAAAAAAAGTGTTTTTTTTCTCTAAATGCCACGTGAGATTCACGTGGCAATAGGTTATCCTCAATAAATGCCTCCTATTTTCATCCATAAAAGATCTCATTGCTACTTTGGTTGCGTTTCATTTGTCAAAATTGGTGGTTGTACCAAAAAAGTGTGAGTTCGTATAAAAACTCTCTATTCCTATTAAATATATATATATATATATATATACACACACACACACATTGCTTCATATAAAACAATTATTTTATTTACTACCCTTTTTAAAATAATCAAATCTCACCATTAAAATTTGTTGGATTTTATACATAAATTTTATTTGATTTTACATCTTGCAAACTTGTGTTATCTAGTTACAAATTGTTCTTGACAGAAATAATGCCAAATAATTGGACTACTAATTTAAAATTATATATATTTACAATTAAATTTATTTGAATAACATATCCGAACTTAAATTATCCCATGCCTCAAATTTCTAAAAATTCATTTTAATTGAAACATTAGGGATTGATTGGCAATCCTTGAATTGTGTTTCTTCTTTTTAGATTCACTAAATCAAATGTATTTAATAATATGCGTTCAGACGATTTGTTTTTGAATTCTATGATCCAAATAGTGGTAATCTTGAAAACAATTTTTTTTAGTGTTTTCAATTTTAAATTTAAAACTTTAAAATATAAAATAGGTAAAATTTTGAAAAATATATTATTTCATGTTTTAATTCATTTCATTTTTTAAAATCAAATCATGTAAAATATAATATATTATAAATTATATAATATTGTAAAATAATAATTATACAAAATTTATAAAAAGGTTAATAAATTAATTAATATTATTTTAGATTAAACTAAATATTTAGTTGGTAACTACCAATAATTTACAAATATTTTATTAAACACTGAACAAATTTTTAGATTAAAACTATATCTTTAAATTTGCTACTAAACAAAAGTTTGAAGATATTGAAAATATATGTTTTCATTTAATCTCTTATTTTCAAATTTCTATATTTTCAGATCACCGGCATCCTAAATTTTTCCAAGCTTAGTATATATATATATATTTTAAGGAATTCTAAGCTTAGTTAAATCATATTCAAGAAATAAATGGAGAAAGCAAATATTTGGGAGGGGAAAAGAAAGAAAAATGGAAAGATATGTGTCACGTTGTATTTGTTCAACTTTTCCAAAACATTTTATTTTAACTTTTTTCTAGTCAACTATGCCCCTCTGAATTCGGAAAATATCTTTATTGCCCCTCTGGCGTCCGCATCATGACCAATAACCACATGAACAAGATGCCACGAAGGAAACCTCTCTTTTTATTTTTTCAACAAAATTTGGCCTAAAGTGATGCTTCAAATAAATTTCAATACTATATATCAATGTAATGTTTTTTAAATAAATTTGAATAAGCTAGAGACTCTTAAAAATAATTAAATTAGCAAACACATAAGTATTACTTCCTTTAAACGTTATGACTTCAAATATTCTCTCTAGCAACATCTTTTTTATATATATAAATTAATGATATTTTTAAAAGGGGAAGAGTTTTTTTCCAAAGGGAAAATGGGAAGAGTTTGATATCTATATAAGATGCAAATATCTTTTTCTTGAGATATCAAACAAAAGAAATCAATAAAATATCATATTACTTTATATTCTAAATTTTATTTCACATATGTCTATGACATGCAACTTTTAGCGTTAAACTTTCTATTTTATCGAAACGTAAATTTAGAATAGATGTTGACATTAACGTTTTCTCAAAACCAAATTACATCTTGAACTGACTTGTTAATCACACAAAATTCAATTAATAAAACACTTAAAATCAAATCACGTAAATACTTAAATATAAAATAATACGAGTGAAACAACCTAATCACAAAATCAAGATGGAAAAAAAGGTTTTCAAACACGAAATTGTGTTCTCTTTCTAGTTATAATATTTCATTTTGGCTAAAATAATATAATTACTCACTCATATGATTTTCATTATTAGTTAATTTTCTAAATAAAAGAAGTGAACAATAAAACAGAGAAATTACGAAAGAATAAATACAATTTGATAAGGTCAATAAAAAGAAAATCAACATCAAACGGGACGGGAGCTAAAAGTTAAAAACGAGAACATGGAAAAAATTTGAAATTGAAAATGAAAAATTTAGTGGAACAGTGAAAGTATAAAGTGGGATCATGACAAGCTATTATTAATAATTAACCTAATTTAACTCCAACTTGACTTTGTGAAAGAAAGTATTTTTATTTTTATTTTTTAAAAAGAATTCAAATTATGACTTTATTATAAATTTTATAATGTTTAGAAAAACAAAAAAACAAAATATTTAGAAAAGAAATGGAAAAGAAAGAAACAGACAAAGAAAGCGTTACCCCACAAGACCCACAACAACAAGACCCCAACAACATAAAAGAGGAAAAAGAAAATTAAAAAATTAAAAAATTAAATTTAAATTAAGAAACATGAATAGAGTGCCTAAAAAAATGAAACCCAGTGAAGCGCGTGGAGTGCACTCCCCAATCAGGAGAGATTGATAGCAATGACACCACACAGTGTTCTCGTACGTGAGATGAAGATGCCTATGGTATGGTAAGAGTTTCCCATCACGAGGTTTTCCACG